TATATTCTCCTATGTCCCTACATCTATGTGGTGCTATATTCTCCTATGTCCCTACATCTATGTGGTGCTATATTCTCCTATGTCCCTACATCTATGTGGTGCTATATTCTCCTATATCCCTACATCTATGTGGTGCTATATTCTCCTATATCCCTACATCTATTTGGTGCTATATTCTCCTATGTCCCTACATCTACGTGATGCTATATTCTCCTATGTCTCTACATCTACGTGGTGCTATATTCTCCTATGTCTCTACATCTACGTGGTGCTATATTCTCCCATGTCCCTGTGTTTCAGAACGTGCGGGAGGAAGACCTGTGCACCATCTGCTACGCCAACCCCCAGCAGACGGTGTTTGTACCGTGTGGACACAGAACTTGCCGGTGAGGTCCACGTGTCTTTTGGTCCATGTATCTTTTGGTCCATGTATCCTTTGGTCCGTGTGTCTTTTGGTCCATTTGTCTTTTTGTTCGTGTGTCTTTTGGTCCATGTGTCTTTTCGTTCATGTGTCTTTTCGTTCATGTGTCTTTTGGTCCATGTGTCTTTTTGTCCACGTGTCACGTGTCTTTTAGTCTATATCTTCTTTCCTATCAAACATCTATCGTCCTTGTCTCTCCTCCTTTTTTGTGTTTGTTACACTCTTGCAACACCTCTACTCTTCGGCACTTGTATGACCTTATTGTGTTGCAAGTGCCGTTAAACTCTTGCTGAAACTAAAACTTTGGGGGGGTTTTTTGTTTTATGCTTTGGGGGCTCCAGTGGCAAAGTGAGGAGTGAGTTCAGACTCAAGCAGTGTCATGCAAGTGTCGGTGACACGAGGATCAGATGGGTGGTCACTGGGGTGTGTCTTTGAGCAAGACACGACAACCCTAGCTCAAAATACAGGGCGCTGCACAGTGGGGACCAACAGTGGCATGGTTGTAAACTGTCCTGTATTTGTGTAATAGTGTGTATTTATGCATGTATGTATTTATGTATGTATGTATTTATAATTATGTATTTATGTATGTAAATATTTATAATAATGTATTTATGTATGTATGTTTGCCATTGTAAAACAAAGTGCCCTTCTGGGACAAATAAAAGTGTAATTTATATTTTAAAAAATTTTTCCTCTCCCTCTGTCTCCCCCCAGGACGTGCATCACCCAGCAGCTGCTCAGCAAGAAGGAATGTTTCTTCTGCATCGCCACCATCACACGGCTCAACGACCTCAAGGGAAGACAGATTCTGCGAGAGTACTTCCAGCCTGCCCCGCAGAAAAAGTGATGGAGGAACACTGATGCATGTGTGTGTGTGTCTGTATGTGTGTGTCTGTATGTGTGTGTCTGTATGTGTGTGTCTGTTTGTGTGTGTCTGTGTGTGATGAAGGAACACGCAACATGTCTGTGTCTGTCTGTGTCTGCATCGCCACCATCACGCGGCTCAACAACCTCAAGGGACGGCAGATTCTGCGCGAGTACTTCCAGCCTGCCCCGCAGAAAAAGTGATGGGGGAACACGGAACACATCTGTGTGTGTCTGTCTGTCTGTCTGTCTGTGTGTGTGTTTGTGTCTGTCTGTCTGTCTGTCTGTCTGTCTGTCTGTCTGTGTGTGTGTCTGTTTCTGTCTGTCTGTCTGTCTGTCTGTGTGAAGGGCTGGCAGATTCTGTTCAAGTACTTCCAGCCTGCCCGGCAGAAAAAGTGATGGGGGAATCGCACAACACGTTGCGCGTCCCACATCTATGTCTGTGTGTGTGTTTGTCTGTGTGTCTGTGTATGAAGGGACGACAGATTCTGCACGAGTACTTCCAGCCTGCCCCTCAGAAGAAGTGACTGGGGATCTCGCAACGAGTCTGTGTGTGTGCATGTCTGTGTGTCTGTGTCTGTCTGTCTGTCTGTAATGGGGAAACATGCAACACATCCCACATCTGTGTGTCTGTCTGTCTGTCTGTACGTGTGTGTCTGTGTGTATGTCTGTGTGTGTGTCTGTCTGTGCGTGTGTGTCTGTGTCTGTGTGTCTGTGTGTGTGTCTGTGTCTGTTCTGTATGTGTTTCTGTTCTGTATGTGTGTGTGTGTCTGTGTCTGTTCTGTATGTGTGTGTGTACTGTGTCTGTTCTGTATGTGTGTCTGTGTCTGTTCTGTATGTGTGTCTGTGTCTGTCTGTCTGTGTGTGTGTCTGTGTCTGTTCTGTGTGTCTGTGATAGGGGAACATGCAACATGTCCCTCATCTGTCTGTCTGTGCATGTGTGTGTCTGTGTGTTTGTCTGTGTGTGTGTCTGTCTGTGTCTGTTCCGTATGTGTGTCTGTGATGCGGTAAAGCACTCACCACGTCTGTGTTTGTGTGTCTGTGTCTGTGTCTGTCTGTGTCTGTCTGTGTGTCTGTCTCTCTGTGACTACCTTCACAGTGCGAGCTGCCAGTTGGTTTTGCACACAAGTCCTTGATTAATTTAGGTCTCCTTTTTGCATATAAAATTGTTTTTGTTGGGTTTTTATCTTCCCTCTTTTATTTTTTTGCACACTGGTTGTTTATTAGTTGTTGTTTTTTATGTAAGCCTAAAAAAATTTTTGGGGTCAAATTCTCTCTTTTGTTGCACCCAAGCCCATTATTAGTTTTATTTTTGTAATGTACAAAATTGTTTTTCTATAATTTTTCTGTTTTTGGGTTGAAGTTGTTGTTTTACACCAGTTCTTTATTAGTTGTTTTTTTAAAATTAATATATAAAATTGTTGTTGTCAGTTTTCCCCTCTTTTTTACACAGAAGTCTTTTAGAAGTTGTTATTTTTAAATGTATAAATTTGATTATTATGTCTTTTTTTAATTCTTCCCTGTTTTTTTTCTTGTTTGTGGGAAGTTTTGTTTTTTTGTTTTTTGTTGTTGTTGTTGTTGGAGGGAGCCCCCCAGTGTTGATAGTGATGATGCATTTTGTGATGTCGGAGGCGAACGTGTTGTTTTATCGACGTCTTGGTGAAGACTTAATTGTGATTTCTGCGTGCAGAGTAGCAGACGCTGCTTTATAAAGGGTTTTTGTTTGAAGCAGAAGAATTATATTGTAATGGTGTGCATGAGATTATCTGTATGCATCAGAATTTATTTGACTTCTTGTTTTTATGGTTTGTCGCTGTAAGATTTTTCCATGACTATATTGTGTGTGCTTTGGTAACCACCACATCGAAAATTTTCATCTGTCTCGTTCTCTTTTTCTGTCTTTCTCTCTCTCTCTCTCTCTCTCTCTCTCTCCTCTCTCTCTCTCTCTCTCTCTCTCTCTCTTTGTGTCACACACATACGCACATTGCAAGCTCTCACACACACACACACACACACTCACACACACACACACACACACACACTGCAAACTCCCACACACACGTACATTCACAGACACACATTTCCACATGACTAGTACAGATATACGACTGTGTTTGACCCTCACTTTCAGCTGGTACTGTAGAATTTCTGATTGAGAATGAATTTTTATTATGTGATATACATTTTTACTGAGTGTATTTGTGTCTCTATATGTGTATTTGAGGAGTCCACTGAAAAAAAACGGGCATAAGCACAAACTGGAAATTTTGAGGGTGTCAATTTTAAAATCTTCATTTTAGTTTGATTGGTGGTTCATTTTAAATGTTTTTTAGATGTGAAATCTAACAACAATAATCAACCAACAGCTGAACAGAAATACTGTTATGAGTCAACAAATGTTCAAAATTGACACCCTCACGATTTTCAGTTTGTGACTATGCCCGGTTTTCAGTGGACTCCTCATTTGTAAATGTGAGGAAGGTCGGCAAGGGGGAGGAGAGGAGAGAGAGAGAGAGGGGGAGGGATGGAGGAGGACAAGTTGATGCCTTGTATCACTCATTAAGCTGTTTCACCTTCAGCTGTCCTTGGTGGGTGGTTGGCGGGTGCTCTGGTGGTGTGGTTCGCTCCTTCTTTTATATCAAACATCTATCGTCTTTATCTCCCCTCCCCCCCCCTCTTCTTTTTTGTGTTTGTTACTCTCTTGTAACACTTCTAATCTGCTGCACTTATATGACCTTATTGTGTTGCGAGAGCAGTAAAACACTTACTAAAACTTAAACTAGGTCAATGCGTCAGTGGTTGCATCAGCCGTGTCATTAGTGTGTTGTTTCAGGTGAAACCTCGGCTAGCTCAGGTACACGCGTAGAAGGCGGGTAGGATTCTGCAGGGTCAGAAGAAATTGTGTCACCGCGCGCTGGAATCAGGCGCTCTTCAATTTTTGGACATGTGGAGTTTTTGGCACCGTCTGAAAGCTGATTTATTTGCCTTGCTTTCAATGAAATAAATATCCATCTATCTTGAAAAGAGCGCGAGATATTTGCGATTGAAGAAAATGAGGTCGTCTGGTTTCAGAGGTGAAGTTAGCGAGAAAATAGCTGTTAAAATTTTGTAACCCCAATAGCTAAACATTCGTTGAAAACAGAAAAATGACATTTTGTGCCTTAAATCAATGTTTTTCAGTAAAATTCACATGGAAATGTGTTTTTAATTTTTATATGAACCTAAAAGAGGTTAAGCCAAAAATAAACATTTGACAAAAATTTGCAAACTGGCAGGAAAATGCCTGTTTCTCCCATTCCTGTCTTTTGACGAGCGCCTGATTTCACCACGCTGCCTCACAATTATCAACTTCACGAGGCTCAAGTGTGGGATTCTTTCTGGGTTTTGACAGTCTGGCTTTTGTGTAAATTATTGATGTCTCACTCCTACTTCACATCATCAATTGTGTCTTGTAACTGTCTCTTTGTTTGCTAATAAATGCTTCTTAAAAAATGTTCAGGTATTTTCACATACCGTAGTGTGGGTGGTTGGCGGGTGCTCTGGTGTGGTTTTCTCCTTCTTTCCTATCAAACATCTCTCATCCTGATATCACCACCTTCTTTTTTTTTGTGTTTGTTCCTCTCTTGTAACACCTCTAATCCTCGGCACGTCTGTGACCTTATTGTGTTGAAAGTGCCGTAAAACTCTTACTAAAGACAAACAAACCTTAGTGGCATCCCTGGTGAAAGTCTTTCATCTCTAGACACCATTGCTGTAAGTTAATTTCAGAACTTGACAACTCAATCAAAAAAATTCCGTTTATTTCTTTGAGCTGTAGATGTCGCTGTTATCTTCTTCTTCTGAGACCAGAAGGTGCTTGTGGGTGGTTGGTGGGTGCTCTGGTGTGGTTTGCTGCTCCTTCTTTCCTGTCAAACATGTGTCAGTGGGTGGTTGGCGGGTGCTCTGGTGTGGTTTGCTGCTCCTTCTTTCCTGTCAAACATGTGTCAGTGGGTGGTTGGCGGGTGCTCTGGTGTGGTTTGCTGCTCTTTCTTTCCTGTCAAACATGTGTCAGTGGGTGGTTGGCGGGTGCTGTGGTGTGACTTGCTCCTTTTTTCCTTTCAAGCTTCTATCTATCATCGTTTATCTCTTCTCCTTCTTTTCTTTGTACGTTACTCTCTGGTTACACCTGTAACCTTCAGCGGAAATGTGACCTATTTGTGTTGCAATTGCTGCTGTCTGTTGATGTCGCCAAAGAGCAAAGGAAATAGGACATCCACCCTTTGGCTCTCGTACAACCTTTTGCAGTTGTGAGCGCTGTAAAACCTCACTAAAACTAAACTGAGGAAATATGAAGGCTTCCATTGCAAAAAGTACCATACACACTTTCCACCAAATCTAGGCATTTCCTGAAAAAAACAAAAAACGAACACACCATAATGTTATGGTAAGAACTGTTGAGATTTTTTTTTTCTCAAAATGCAATGTATCCCTGGATATTCAATATGACAAAATTGTGTTTGGTTCAAACTTTTGTTTTCTGAGATTAAGTTGGGGGGTTTTTTCCCCATTTTTCTCTGAGTTGTAGTAAAAGTAAATTGATGTAGTGCGTTTTGCCATGGCGTCCTTCTGAATATTGTGTTTCCTCAAACGTGCATGTATTTTCCTAAGCTGAGAGCTAAAAGAGCACAGTTCTTTAGTAGTCGGGTAATTAGTTTGCTTCCTGATAGTTTTCTATTGTCGAAGCTTGAGGAAGGTCGAGGAGATTGAGTTAAAGGTTATATGTGTATTATATATATTGATGGGGCGGTTTGGGGGAAATTTTTGTTGGTCTTTTATTGGATTCCTATGAGGGGGAGGATTTTTATGGAGTATCTTCATCGTATGAGCACGGAGGTTTGAAATGAGAAACAATTCTTGCTCATGTTCTTGTGATGTGATCTTATGCTGGGTCTTTCAAAACTGTTTCTAGGAGGGCATACATACAAAGATATTTTACATTGTGAAGATACTTTTGCTTAGCTGTTGTACCTCCCCTGTCAGCCGGGGTGTGCTCTCTGTTTCATTTGTGGCACTGTGTGTTCAGTAACCTCACTGCAGTTGGTATGAATGAATTTCTATATCTGACTGTTCTTAGCTTTTTTTGGTGGAAATGTATTGTTTACTGCGAGTCGATAATTGAAATTCTGATGTCAGTGTCGAGGTCTTTGAACGGTCTCCGATGAGTTGTTTCTCTCTCAATATTTGAGGGTTTGTTTCGGTGTGTTTATTGGTCCGTTTTAACAATTGTACCATCTTTTATCTCTCCTCCTTCTTGTCTTTGTATGTTACTCTCTAGGACCACCTCTAATCTTCAGCATTTGTATGATCTATTTTGTGTTATAGGTGCCATAAAACTAACTTAAACGAAAAAAAATAAAACAAAAAACAAAAGCCATTGTCTCTCACATCTCGTCATCAATGTGCAAGTGGCCAGATTTTTGACTGGCCAATGAACAGCAGCGTCAGCAAGAAATGCTCACTTGCCACATTGGCAAACTGACTTTCTCTTTCTTTTTTTTTTTTTTCAGTATTTTGATTTGATAATGTCAAGAAGTTCGCCCAACATAGGGAAAGGGGGACAGTGTTTGTTGGTGGCATATACTGCGGTCTAGGGTGACAAAGGCGATGATGATGATATGACGATGATCACCATAATGACGATGATGAT